GAATTGCTCGGGTGATGTTGTTTTTGGGAAAGTAGGCATGTTGCTTACGAGTTTTTTACGAAGTTTGGATAGATGGGAAATCAATCCTACTTTTGCGTGCTTGTTTTAGCGCCGTGCGCACTTATCACTCGATGTTCTCGAGTGAAGCGTGAGTACTCGCCAAAATAGTTGACGTGTGCGCAGTTTGGAGTTAGGTGTGTCTGAATGATGTGGTATTGATGGCGAGAAAGATTGAAAGCATTTTCGAGTGACATATTTGATGTCGTTGGCACATGTTATTTTTGGTTCCCGACTGCATTTGTAAAACGTGTGATGATATTTGTGCAACACACGAGAGAGATTTGCAGTTTTGTGCGCACATCTTTATCATTACATGCTAAAATGGAAAGCGTGTGGTGGTTTCAATTTTGGAAGCGTTTGAATGTATTATTTTAGGTTCCCGAATGCAGTTCAGATACGTTTCGAAATAGGTATGGAAGACATGGTTATAATTTGCAGAAACATAAACGTATGGATTTTGTTATACAGAAAAATTGAAAGCGTTGCTTGGTATGATTTTTCAGGACGCCTACACGTGGTAGATAAGGTTCTCAACTGAGTATAGAGCACATGTGTGAAAGAACGACAAGTAAACGGGAAAATTTTCCAATTGGGTGTTCGACCTATAATGTTAAACGTACATTTGACTAGGAAATGTTATTCCATAAAGTATTTGTGCCACACACTCTCCTGAGTTTTGTTCGTTTCTCGTCAACAGTTGGGAACCTCAACTGAGGGTCTCAAACGATGAAGAAGCTAAGAGCGTTTAAACGCGTTTTTCCAATTTTTTGACTGCTTGGGGTACAGGGTGAACGTGAACGACTATTGTTTACGGTAAGCGTAATATAGCGTGAAACAGCGTATACGACAGTAGTAAGCGGTCAATGTAAATGGTCGTCGTTGTCTATCGTAAATTATTCGTATACGGCCGTTTACGGCCGTGCGTGATTGACCTGGAAAAGTTCACTTATGACAAGCACAATTCCAGCACATTCTCACATTGTTAATGATCCAGGACACAATCACGGTGGATCAACAGATTCCAGTACAACATCCTACCTTTCTTATTCTGGTACTGCTGTCTCCTTCTATCTATACTCTGGATCTTATGTTTCTGCTTCGACTCATTCACATTCAATACAAACCGATTACACAAATATTATCTTAGAGGCGAATGGAAGTCATACACATACAATAAATGGAACAACAGGCTCAACAGGAATGGGTCAACCATTCAACATAATGCCTCCTTATCAAACAGTTCATTATATTATTCGAGCAAACTTATAAATGTTTTTTCATTTCAAAACTTTTCCCATTTTTTCTTCAAATCAATAGAGCAGACTGTGTATTCCAGGATACTCAAGTCTTGTACTTCCTTCTCTCTCTCTCTCACTTTGTTTCATTTGGTTTTTCTTGTTTGTCATTCAAATTTAACCCTCATACGCCCAGCTAGGGGCTATGCAGACCCCAACCCAATAAAATAGATACAATAAACCTTTTAAGTAGTCGGTGTGAAAGCTCGTACAATGAGCAGCAAGTCGAAAACTTTACAGCATCTCAGCAATCGCTCTCGACCATAAAACTCAAAACCAAATGGCTCATTTTGTGAAAAATGAAATTCTGCAACAAATCGTATATAAAACGATTTGAAAAAGTTAAACATATACTTCCTCAAAGAAAAGTTTCAGTTTTTCATATGACGAATGTCAGATTCGTAATCAACACTAAAAACTGTATATAGAATACTGTTTAGAAGTGTTGTTATTGACGAAATCATTTTTCAAGACTTAATCAACGAAGTATCACTTTCTGTGGACATGCCCAATAGTTCTTTATCGAATGAAAAATACTGAAGCTTCGAGATAAATAATATAAATATCAAAAGCACATAAAGAAGGCGTACAAACTGTTATGATATCTCCGATAGTTTCTTTTTTTTTGGATAATTTATGTCGTACTATTGAAAGCGATGGTATGCCATGTTTCATCATTGTATATTAGTTCTCCCGTGTTATTTTTTTTCAAATAACATATTCCACGGGAGTCCATATCTAAATATTGTTTAGATCTAGAAAAGCCGATACATGTGATATATTTCAAACATGCCTGTTGACAAAACTGTAGATCGCCGATATAAGGATTTCCATCACAATCTGCACTTTCTGACGAAATTATAAAATAGTCTACAATATACCATCTACTTGACCAATCTGAAGGAAAACTTGGAAAACTCGCTCGAGAACAATTGTTGCATTTAGCCAAATTTACTGTATCATATGTCAAATTTAGTGCAATATATTCTTGAATTTGGGCACGGCACGATGTGATATTACACCAAAGGACTACTCCTGCCGCTGTTGTTGTCGTTGTTGTTGTCGTTGTTGTTAGTAACGCTTCTTTGACTTTTTTACTTTGTTTGTGTTTAATAATTACTGGAATGATGATAGCCAGGGTCAAAATAACAATAATAATAATAATAGCGAATATCATCACTAGAGATTTTCTTCTTCGATTATTTTGATTTATACAACTATAAAATCAAATTATAAATGTCAGTTCGAGGAGGTGGAGAATCTCAAATTATTACCAGTTTTCGCGAACAGCCTCTTATTTAATATTTCGTACTATGTTAGAATTCACTCGTCTAGTTTGAGCATAGTGGAAACTATCGTCACATATTGTACTTCAGATATTTACTTTCCCGTGAAAATTTCAAAATTCTATTGTCATACAAAGAATTTGATAGTAATCGTGTCTATAGATGTATGAAAGACGGGCAGATATCAGATAGTTATTTCCGTGTGAAAATTTCAACGTTCTTTTATCATGCAAGCACTTCGATGGTAGTTGTCTATATATATGTTTCTAGATCGAGCAGATATCCAGATATCAGATATTTACTTCTGTGTGAAAATTTCAAATTTCTGTTATCATGCAAACACTTCGATGGTAGTTGTCTAGGCATATACCAAATCCAAAAATTCGGATTCGACTGGATTCGTGTTCGAACAGGTTTGAATTTGAATGGAATCAGTTTGGAACATATTCGGATTCGAATAGATTCGATTTCGAACATGTTTGGATTCGAATGGACTCGATTTCAAACATGTTCGGATTCAGACGTGTTTGAATTCGTGTGGATTGGAGATTCGATAGAATTCGTTAACCAAACTAAAATAATTCGCGCATGCAGATTTTGCACTCAAACTTGATGATTCAGTACCGTACTAGTTTGGTCTTTGACTTATCAGTACCTTGTTTTCTTTGTTCATACGGACGTGTTTGCTTACATAGTTGGATAGTAATGGCTAGACGAAGAACGAAAAAAAGACGAAAGAAGAGAATATTTATATACGTTTCTTTCTGACTGATAGCGCATTCAGTACGCAATTTTAACAAAAATGAAGTCGAAGCGAAATCACTCAGCGAACATGAACACGAAAACAGTAAACAAACGTCTTTGTACTGAATCCAATGAAATGCATGAGAGTGGTGTGCATGATTTGAATGAAGTTCTTATTCAAAAAAACCAATCCAATACGGATGCTGATACACCAACTGACTTTTTGTTACGTAATAAATCGAATGTCTGGAATTATGCACATCGACATCCAACCGATTTGGGATGGGCTATCTGTGATCTTTGTCCTTCTGCTCCTGCTCCAAAACGTATATCAATAAAAGGAGGTGCAACTAGTACGCTACGCAAGCATCTTATCAAAGCTCACAATAAAATCGATCTGTTGCTCGTATCGTCCGATGATAAGGTAGCCCGAAAATTACCGACGATTGAACGCAATAAACTGCATCAGCTGTTGATCAATGCTGTTATTGTAGACGGGCGTTGTTTCAGTGACTTCCGAAAGTCTGGATTTTCTCGTTTTCTCGAGTATACCGTTCCTGGTGAGTAACAACTTCTAAAGTTCATTTCAAGTGATACATTGTCATAATTTTAGGATACAAACCACCCCATTCGAACACTGTTCGCCGTTGGATAAAACATTTGAGCACTATTCATCGTTCGAGTTTGTCCGAAAAACTACAGAATGTGGAATATATGTCGATCACTTGTGATTTCTGGTCGAATCGATCGTCAAAGTCGTTCTTGGTCATGACCGGTCACTATTTATCAAAATCCTTCGAACTAAACAGCACTGTTATTGATTTTTCACACTTCGAACAACGTCATTTTTCGGACAACGTTGCGAATGTTATCTATGAAAAACTTGATCGTCTGAATGTACTTGGTTCCGTGACAGCCGTCACATGTGATGGTGCCTCTAATATGAGGAAAGCGTTTGAAACACTCGGAACTCTGGATCGTTTATGGTGCTTAGGACATCGTTTACATTTGATTGTGACAAATGCTCTTGGTTTTTGGTTAAAAGACACGGATCAACACGTTGATGAAATTATCGAAGATCGTACACCGACAAATTCGATGGATGATGATATTAACGCTGATTCACAGGACATATTGGATGATGAGAGCGATGAAATGAACGTAAACGATGACGATGACGAAACAGAAATGGTGAGTGTCACATTCGAAATATATTAAACGCTTTTGGAATAGAATGCGCTTCAAGTTTCCTATAGGCATCGTAGCGACCTATTCTCGAAGTATGCCAAATAGATAAAGGTCCAATAATACATCTCGTTTGACCTTGGCTCTTTCCTTCTTATTCTGTTTTTTTCGTTCTTTCTCCATACGGCCTCGATATCATTCTTCGTCACTATAATCGCATTCTCCATATTACAGTCATGACTGCATTTTTCTTATTCTCCCACTGTGTCCGTCGTTATTAAATCCTCGATTTCTTTCTTATCATTGTTTATTTCAAATACATGTTCTAGGAAGATGCGCAAACAAATATGATCGGTCATGGTCCAGTAGACGACGGATGGGCGGAAGACGTTATGACCGAGGATTTTTATACGTCACCAGATACAAGTTCGATTGGTGCGCTCTTACGAAAATGTCGCGCACTTGCTGCTATGATGAAAAGATCAAGCCTATTATCAGCTTTCTTTGAGAAAGAATGTTCAAAAGTCGGCGTTCAACGTTCACTAAGAGGTGATGTCTGCACACGATGGAATTCCACACTCCATATGGTCGAAAGTTTCCTCTCACTCAAAACGGCACTCGGTAAATTATTCGATGAAAAGCACGCATTGGGATTATCACGTGCTCAATCAACAAAATTATTTCGTTTGGAACTTTCGTCTTCAGATTGGAATCTGTTGAAGATTTTAAGCCAAGTTCTTCAGCCGTTTGATCTAGCCACAAAACTGCTGAGCGCTCAACGATATCCAACGATTGGTCTGTGCCTTTTTGCTATTCATCACATCAAGGCATTTCTCGAGGACACAGATGACGACGGTGAATTAGAACAACGACTCAAGAGCCGCTTACTTGATCAAATCACAAAATACATTGACGACGAAAAAGAGCAAATGCGTATCTTGCGTGTAAGTTTCATTGTAACGTCATACGTCTAGACTAGCCAAACGTTTCGTTTATTTTTATTAGGTATACGGCTATTTTGATCCTATGGGATTTTCCGTATTAATCGATCGGGAACGAACAACGGTGGAAAGAGAAATAAAAAAATTGTCAAGCGTTACTCTTGATAAGAGCTTTGATCAATCTGCCGTCAGTGGGGAGTCAACTGTGGTACCCAACGCGACTCCAGAGCCCACTACGATCAATGCTTTCTTAAAATCTGTCGGCCACGAGTCGATCAATACCAAAGGGAAGCGTGCAACACTTGTTGAAGAAATTCGTAGTTACCGTCTTTTGGTTGCAAAGTTCAAGGACATAAGTGTTGATGATTCTGCTGCCCTTCGATTTTGGTCAACGCATGCTGTTGAACTACCCTTGTTATCATCTTTCGCACGTCGCTTTCTGGCTACACCTGGTACAAGCGTGCCGTCCGAAGCGGCATTTTCTGCATCAAGTTTTATCGGACGAAAAGAACGGTGTCGTTTAACAGCTGACAATCTTGCTGCAACAGTATTTCTCAAAGATAAACTCGAATAGTCGTTCTTTTTTCATTCAAGACTATCGTTATTTAGAAGTTTAGGTAGAGTTCTTTTGTTATCTGAATAGAAGTATCCGTTATTATAATAAATATTATTCAGCTTCAATCATTATTTTCTTAATTTACATCCGAATTTTTCCGAATCTCGAATCTTTACAAATCTTAGGTTCGTCAGATTCAAATTCATTCCAAATCCGAATCTGTCAAATCCAAATCCAATAAAATCCAGATTCTATCGAACTCGAACATCTTCGAATTCAGATCCTCTACAATCAAATCCTTTCGAATCCAATCGGATTCGAGATCGAATCTTCGGTTCTGATTCGGATTCGGTGCATGCCTAGTAGTTGTCTATGTAGATATATGAAAGGCGAGCAGATATCAGATATTTACTTTTCTCTGAATGTGCTTAAGTGAGAACGACTTGTGAGGGATATCACTGGTAACGCTGTAAGTTATGAAAATCATTCATATATTACGTTCTTCCTTTTTTCGTGATATTTATTTTTATTTTTAACCAGAATCATTGGATTTACTTATCATTTGAAAGTTTGACTTGTCAAGAATGCTGATTAGGTCGGGTAAATACCCAAGGAATGACCAAAATGATATCATTATGGCAATACTGAATCCTGGTACTCGTCTGTGGAAAAGTCCTTTTGGTTCTATCGAGAAATAGATGTAATATGTGTAAAAAGGTGCTAGTCGATTCGAAAATATATGATGTGTCTAGAATATAATAATGGATACGCTGCTGAAAGTATTAGACCAGATGCTATTTTCGTTACATTCTATTACGAAATACGATAGAAATTTGTTGTTCAAGAGTTTTTGCTCCAGTTTAGACGAAAACAGTATTGATTACGTCCACCATCTGTTCTTACTCGTTTCCATCCCTTTCTCACTCTATGGAGTATTTTCTGAGTGCAAGTGACGTGTGGCGTTTTTTCCCCAAACTAGATTAGTTATCTTACAGAGATTCAAAAGCAGTTTAGTTACGGGCATGTTCAGGTAAAGTTAAATTCGCTTGTTAGGTTTCTATACATTTTGAGGGTATCAACAACATTTCCAAACAGTAAGCTACCTACAGACTTTAATGCTGATGATGAATCTGACATTAAGTTTTTGAAAAGTGATTTTTTCAAAGACTACAGTAGATTCTACACGTTTTCAATCTCTTGTTCTAGATGTTTTTATCAGAACATGCCTTCAAAATATACTGCGACGCGCACCATACGATGCAAATTTTTTTCTTTACAAAATAAGGTTTTTGCTTTTCAGTTTTGTGGTCTGAAAAAATTCCTAATCTCCTGTGAATTTCTAGACTTGCTGCTCATAGTATGAGTTCACATGCAGTTGTATCGATCTCATTTTTGAGTAGATTATTTAATAGTGCCGGATAGACTACCGTTTAAAAAAAATCATATTATGCTAAGTATACAAAGGAGCTAAAGAATAGAATGATCAACAAAAAACTGTCTCTCAGAGTTAGACTTGTATTTCTCGTTTTTGCCACAAATGGAAACAGCCAAAAGAGAACGTTTTCTGGCAGACGAAAGTTCTACATAAGAACCGGTAGGGATGGTTAATCTGAATAGTATCTGTCAAAAAAACTGACAAGGAAAAGGATGCTCTGCAAATTTAGAGTCCTTTTATACTTAGATCATACCAAAAGTATTGGCGCCGACCCTTTCATTTTTTAAAGGAACCTGCTGAAGTTTTTTCTTTACATATTCTGATAACCCAAGTGTAGCTCTATAATTCTAGATATTTGATAAATCTTCAAACAAGAATATATAAGTAAAATTTTTCGATACTCTAAAAATTTCACTCACTTTTTTGAATTTTCACTTTGAAAACGTACACGAATGAACTATACAAACCGAAAGCATATGAACAGAGCACGTGTATTTCGCATATATAAATGAAAGTAAACGTCGAAAAAGTTGAAAAGAGAGAGAATAACGAAGAAAAACAACAAAGAGAAGAGAAATAAGTATAGAAGACAGTATACCATATTGTTTTCAACATAGATCAGAAATAGAATCAAAACTATTCATTTATGGTCCAATGGATAAAGAATATTTTCGTTTCTATATTAAAGTGCGTACTGCACTTCATATCGACCCGATAGTTATTCATAATGAATTAAACACTGTCTTTGGTGATGAAACTCCTCCTCTACGAACTGTTCAACAATGGTCAAAATGGTTTCGTGATGGTCGAGAAGATGTTGAAGATGAAGAAAGAGTTGGAAGGCCAATAACAGAGACAACAGCTGAAAATATTCCACAGGTTCATGATCTTATCAATGATGATCCTCAAATCACGATTAAAGAACTTGAAGCAGAAAGTAGTTTAAGTCATGGAACCATTCAGCAAATTATTTCTGATCATTTGCAATTGGAAAAAGTTACTGCTCGTTATGTTTCTAAACATTTGACAAGCTTTCAAAAGGCTGAACGAGTACGAATATGCCAGGAAAACTTATCAAAGTTTGAACAAGATGTTTGGAGATTATGAGATGTGGTGACAGGTGATGAATCGTGGTTTTTTCACAAGCAAATTGCCCGAAAATCATCGAATGTAGCTTGGGTAGCACGTGGAGATCCTCCTCCAACGGTGGTTCGACGTAATCGTTTTGCTCCAAGAAGTTTCCTGTGTATTTTTTCAAGTCGACTGATTCATTTTTGATTCATTCTGCTAGACGTGGACACATAATTAATCATGATTATTACATTGATAATTGTCTGCGATCAGTTATTGATGAAGTTAAGAAACAAAGATCTTCCCTAGGTGTTCAATCCATTAAACTCCATCATGATAATGGAAAACCACATATTCATGAAGATGTTATCAGGTATCTGCAGTCAGAAGGTGTAACTGTAATGTCACATCCACTTAATTCTCCAGATCTGTCACCATGTGATTTTTAGTTATTCGATTTAATCAAGCAATATAAACGCAATCAAGATGATACAGAATCATTATATGAAGTCGTTGAAAGAGAAGGAGTATAGAAAAACTTTTGATAAATGGATTGAACGAATGCATTTATGTATAAATAACCACGGTGGTTATCCTGAGGATTTAATGTAATAACAACATGCTGAACTTGTTTCAAAAAAACTTTTTTTGCTACTCATTCACTGTGTTTGCTTTAGTTTCAAACATTATATGTTGTTTGAAGATTTAGCAAATACCTAGAACTATAGAGCTTGACTTGGGCTATGAGAATTTGTAGAGAAAAAAATTCCAGCAGGTTCCTTTAAAAATGAAAGGATCGGCGCCACTACTTTTGGTATGGCCTAAGTATTTTCAGTTTTCTAGAGACTACACTTTGATCGCGTTTGATCGTTATTTCACTTTCATGTAAGCGATTGTATGGCTACTAATACGGTCAATACAAGTAATGTTGTTGAATTCTGGTGAAGAATAAATTTCCTTTCTTGTGAAAAAATATCTATAACATCATGTTTCTGGAATTTTCTCTATCGAAAAGTAGTGCTAATATTTCATAGTTTGAGATATGAACATATGCTTTTTACTTTATAAATCAAAATAAAGAGAATTTCTAATCGAGCAGACTTTTTATATTACAATTGAGAATAAAAAAATAGAGGTCGAATGATGAAAAGTTAATCGGGTTTAGTCTGGGCCGTTACTGAGCTTGAGCTCAAGGTAATTATCATAGGGAACTAAAGAAACTGTAGTCCTAAAATCTGGTTGAGCAAAATACAGGTACAAATGTAAATTCCATTCCTCTCTCTGACGAGCCAGCGATCAGTCGCATTCTCTTTCGTCTATATACGTTAATTTTGTCGACTTTCGGTTCAAACAAAGAACCCTTTCTCTCTCTCTCTCGCCCTCTTGTGAATCCAATCAATCTCGACCAAGATCCACCAAGTCTTTTCTACGAATCCAAAACCGGTTCTTGGCCAAGTTTATGCCTCCAAAGGCAGGAGGTGGGCGCTCACGCGCAAGAAAACAGCACCAAAGCCTAGACAATGGTCAGCGTCACTCATCCGTCGCGCCCATTGTTTCCACTCCACAAATCAACCGAC